CTCTCTATACACATCTCATGGCCCATCCACTGGATGTTAAGCAAGATCAGGTCATCGAAGGTTCATTAACCCTTTCACAGAGCAAAAGAGTCCATGGTTCGTGAATATTCACAGAAGCCATCTCTCTCCCCTCACAGATCTCTCTATCGCTCACGCATAAGCCCTCCCTCTCTCCTCACAGCCCAACCGTCTCGCTCTCTCCATCACTCTCCGTCACGCAGAAACAGCAGTAGCAGAGCGCTCTCTACTGTCGCAGAAGTAGCAGCAGAGCTTCGATTATATTCTAAACTAGGTATGGGAAGCTCTAATTTTTTTAGGGGTTTTTTTTTAGATGATCTATTTGTTGTGTTCTCTTTTGATTTTTGAGCTTGTACTGTGATTATGATTTCGTTGGTGTGTTTCTTAGGGTTTCGATAGAGTTTTGCATTTTGGGTGTTATTGAAATGCTTTATTTCATCACCATTATGTTAATGTATGCTAGCTGCTGTATTTTGTTTTTTTTTTTTTTGATCCATTGCAACCGATCCCATCCTATTGATCAAGGCATGGAAGAAAAATTCATTTTTAGGTACTTCGCTCCCATTGCTCTTACAACTCCTTATTCTCATATTATTTTGAAATACTCATTAAACTTAACATTGGTATGCATTAAGCGAATATTTGACCCTTTTCTAAGTGCATTGGTTGATTTATCTGGTAGGGACCTTCAAAAGCCTATTAATGAGAAAGATTAAGAGAGCTCTATATGTTATCCTTTCATAGATAGTTATTAATTCACATAATTCTCGAGATATTATCAGAATTCTGTGAAACTTGAAACCAAACTCCAAGGAATAAGGCTGAAGAGTGGAGGATGAATTGACTTACCACCCACTGAGTTGGTTTCACTTCCATAGATGGCACAAATTTGCATATAACCATAGTCAACTTGATGTGGTATTGAGATTTTAGTCCCATCATTTCAAGGCCTTGATTATTCAGGGAGACAATAGAATGTACAGGCAGGTAAGGATGATGAAAACTCTCTAATGGCCAAAGCACTAATTTTACAAATGGAGTCCCTACCTAAACTTGGAATTGTGGGTTCCAAAGCACTTATTTTATCCTTTTTCGAATATGTATAAATGATTACCATTGGGAAGTGACAGATTGCTTAATGTTTCAGTATATGTATTGAATATCATGAATAGCTTATCTGAATTTCAAAGGCAAATGCCTGTAGAGTCGTCAATTGCTTTGTTCTATGAGTGACTGAATTTGCAATGTTTTTTGGGTGAAAATAGAGGATTTTATCCTTTTTTTAATATGTATGAATGATTAGATTGTGGAAAACTTTTGATGATCTAATTTTTTTTCATTTACATTTGTGTGTCCAAAGTCACCATAAATTGGAAGCAAGAAGTTGTTGAGATTCTTGAGAAAGTTCACCACTCACATGTTTTCTTCTTCATATTTTTGCTATTTTTCTGTAATTTTTTGGTTTGAGATTTGGCTTCTCTTTCAATATAAAGTATCGGTATGTCTCATTTAGGATGCCTTGTTTTTGCTTTCTTCAGTGTTTTTTATGTAATTTTAATTCCTTCCTTCTGTGCTGTTATGCAAGTTCTCTCTCTTATCTCTCTCTATCTCTGATGAATCAACAGTTAATGTCATCTTACCATATCACGTATTGGGTTCATTTGCTTTTTGCCCTTTTCAATATTCCTATGCAAGTTCTGGTTGCGTTTGGTTTATCTCTCATTTCTCTCTTTCATTGTTGGGGTTTCATATAAGAAGGGAAAAACGAGATTGAACTACACAACATGTCATCAGTTTCCATGAGTGTTGGAGGATATCTATGGTGAACATGTCCACGGTACAACTTGCAATGGAAATTAAGTATATCAAGCTCCCGATCTAACCCTGGAAGAATGTATCATCGGTGTACAAATTGTATTTTTTTCCAATGGTACGATGAATATATGGAAGGGGTGAATTATAATATAAACTTGAGGCATCATGATATACATCAAAACAATCAGTCACAAGAATCGCAAGAGTGTATTATGGCCAGGCCTGAAGCGATGCTCATTGAACAACAAATTGTTGATAATTTAGGGCGTATAAGTTTTTAGTTTTCTTATGTGTAGCGAATGCGTTTATGTTTGTATTACTTTTGTTAAAAAGTATTTGATAGGACTAGATAGTTGGTCTCACAACCCATGAAACAATTTTTGGTGTTGATATTGGATTTAGACTAGAGTGAATTGAAGTCAATATGATTTGTCTGCTTGTAGAAGACTACCTTGTGATGGTCTCATGCAATTCCTTTGAAAGTCAATATGATTTGTCTCTCTCCAACGCTCTCTCTCTTTCTTTCGATTCTATAATGCAACTCTGTTTGATTTCTTGGACTGCAAATATAATAGTACAAGATATAATGGACCTCTCTCCCCAACTTTCTATGCATTTGCTAAGCAGTTGTAGACGGTAGATTTTTTCTTACTTTATAGGTTTGAGTTGCACTTGAATTCATCGAAGAAAACAGTGAGCCCACATTAAGCCCCCTCTCTTTCTTTCGATTCTTTGATGCAACCCTGTTTGATTTCTTGGACTGCCAATGTAATGGTGCAAGATATAATGGACCTCTCTCCCCAACTCTCTATGCATTTGCTAAGCAGTTGTAGACGGTAGATTTCTTTTTACTTTCTAGGTTTGGGTTGCACTTGAATTCCTCGAAGAAAACAGTGAGCCCACGTTAACCCCCCTCTCTCGCTTCAAATTTTATTATGCGGATTCTTCTGGATGTCTGGTGATACTTTGCCATTCAAGATTAGACCGAATCTATATTCTATTTATAATTTTTGTTCTCTTTTTTATGAATATCATACATTTGGGGTTGTTTTGTAATATCATATTCGTTGGGTTTCTCTTTGCTGTATGCTTTTGGGCTTTTAGCTAATGATTTGAAGATGAAAGTCAATTCTCCTGAATCATAAACCTGACTGGTTCTCTTAGTTAATTTCAGAATTTGATTTTCATTTTTGTCCTAGCTTCTGCCCATGAAATTGAAGGTCAAACTCAAATTTGATGGGAAAACAGAGTTTAGATATTATACGATTGGTTTGCTTGCCTTCAAAAACTGTTACTTTTGAGCTCAATTCCAATTCAAGCAATCATTTGCAATTGTAGTAATTGTAGTAATGGGCTAATAGCTACATATGCTTACTTCAATCACAACTGTAGTAATAGCTACATATACATGAGATATATTCACAATAATATGCATTCCAAGCCGTTAAATGTTAATGCCATTACAAGGATTTTGGGCTCAGTTCCAATTCAATCCATCATTTGCAACTTAGTGACCATAACTTGATCAAAACTTGTGATCTACAAAACATAACCAACCCTATAAATGGATGCCTTGTATAAAAACCCACCAGGGGCCCAAAAAATCCTCTACATAAGGAATTGGAGTAGTAAACTCTTCAATCATCAACAATTGATCCAAAATCTTTAGCCCTTTAGGGGCTTCCTTTTCAACCTGCAATAAGAAGGAAATATTGAGTTGACGGATGCGCAAGTGCTTGTTAATGGAGTTGAAGTTACCAAAATCAGTAACAAAATTCATGTAATTGAAGCCAACCAAGTGATGGACTGAATGCATAACATAATGAACCGATGAAAGAGATGATGGACTGATGCATCACATAATGAAAGAGACGATGGACTGAATGCATTACACATAACAAAATTCAGCAGCAAGGAAACAGTAGTGGTAGTGATATCTGTGAACATACAAAATCATACAAAATTCAGCAGCAAGCATACATTAGTGATAGTGATATCTGTGAACATACAAAACTCAGCAAGCATACTAAATTCAGCAGCAAGCATACATTAGTGGTAGTTATATCTGTGAACATACAAAACTAAGCAATCATACAAAATTCAGCAGCAAGCATACATTAGTGGTAGTATGTGAACATACAAAACTCAGCAAGCATATAAAATTCAGCAACAAGCATACATTAGTGGTAGTGATATCTGTGAACATACAAAATTCAACAAGCATACAAATTCAGCAGCATACAAAATGCAACACACAACTGTACAAGTAAAATAGAAGTGCCAATGGATTTGTGTTGTACCCAATGCAACACACAAAACCACACTGTATTTCAACTCATATTCATGTTCAATAACACACGAGTAGCCCAAAACATTGTCAGCTCCAATATTCGCCATCAGGCAGTTGCTTTCCAACAATTTCAGATTACTTTGTTGCACTCAATCTAATTCACAAAACCACACTGTATTTCAATAATCATATTCATGCTGTTCCGATCCTTGTTGGTTGTCTGGCTTTTGAGGTGTTTCCCATTCTTTCATCGAGAGTATTGGCCATCAGTTGAATGGGTTTGAACACTCGGCCTCTTTGGGTTAGGGAGTCAACCTCACCAACCTGAAGCTCAACAGGGTCAGCCGTAGCGAGATTAATGGGCGATTTCGGGGTGTTGGACCCTTGTTTGGGAGATGATACATTTTCATTGATTTTGACCATATCGATCTCTAGCATTTCATCTACGCCATATTGGTCCCATTTGAGAAGGTTATCGAGGTTTGGAGATGCAGGGTTTCCTCTTAGAAGGCTCAAAAGATCTTCTTTGAACTCTTGAAAGTGATGATTAGTTAGGTGCCTCGATCTCGCCTTCCGGATCTAGATGATCTGATGGCACATA